AACCCAGGTACTCACCCTTGACCAGGAATTGAAGCCTCAATCCCTTGGTGCGAAGGCTGATGCTCTAACCACTGCGAAGTACTAGCCAGGGCTGGGGCTGTTCCGGTGAGATTTTTATGCCTCAGATGGAAATAACTGATACCTACTGTGGGTATGCGGCAGATGCCTTCCATCTGCCCTCCAAATCCACATTCTGCCTCTGTCCTGCTCTCCACCTGGGAAGCTGACCTGTGGGGACCACATCAAAGGACTCCCTTACCTCCTGACCGCTGATTGGGTTCAGCCCCAGGGGAGCCCTGACAGGAGACTGGAGGCCGGGAAGCGATGAGTGGCCCGGGGCTGCCAGGCTCTCTACTGCCGGCCTTTCTGCTCTACAAGTCGCTCTCCTAGGTCCCAGAGGTTCCCTTTCCTTTCCTTCCTTTGGTTCTAGGGGTAGAAATAGCTCCACTGGGTTATACACTATCTCTCCCTTCCCCTCATACATTCACACCTTTTAAACAGTCCTTTTGTAAGTAAAACCCCCCTAAATTATTCTAATCTGAATGTGCCATCCCTTCCAGCTGGGACTGTGAATGATAAGGACATTACAATAACCACGGTGAGAAAGGGAAACATTTCTCTCAACACACACACACACACACACCAGATCACAGAAGGATCCTGTCTGTCCTTCTGGCTAACGCTAGAAGTTTATCAACAGAAAATTAATCCTGGGCTCAAAAACTTCATAACATATACCAGTTGGCAACAGAGCAGGATAATGAAAGATAATACTTTATGGAATTCAAAAGGCCCAGTGGAGATAAATGCTGTGTGCAAGTTTCTCACACAGAACGCTCATCCATCACAGGCAGAGAATGAACTCTGACGGCTGTATGGCAGTACCAAGGGGTGCAGTGCGATCCGGTTTCCTAGGCCGCAGGCACCCAGCCAGGTGGTCAGCTGAAGCCTGCTTCTATTATCTGCAATCATATGGGGCAAGGAATTTGTTGCTTTCAGTTCCTGAGAATTTATTTGACAGCATTTTTATGGCATGACTGGGAGTGGAAGCCAAAATCTGGATGACAGCCAAAAAACATGTTTTTGGTCTGTGCGAACACTATTTGAAGTAAGGAAGCCATAATGTGTAGAGAAGCAGTAAACAGGCAAATGCTGAGCTGGTTCCAACCCAGCACCTCCGTTTAGCACAGAATTATAGAGCCACACCATGCTTCATGAGGCAGGATGGTAACAGCGCACCAAGAGGAATCAAAAGGAAAAAATGAACACCCCCCCTTCTAAATGCTACAGCATCTAAACAGTTCCATTCTAACACCCATCTTCAATGAGAAGATGTGTAAATGGAGAGGGTCCTATAGTTAATACATGAAAGTTCAGAGGGATTTAGTCTCTCTCTCTACCATGGGTAGCTGTCCCTTCTTCATTAAACCAAATCCTCTCTCAAACACCAGCTTCTCCTAGCCCTGGCTGGGTTTGCTCAGTGGATAGAGCATCGGCCTGTGGACTGAAGGGTCCCAGGTTTGATTCCCACCAGGGCGCAAGCCCTGGTTGCAGGTTCGATCCCCAGTAGGGGGCGTGCAGGAGGCAGCTGATCAATGATTCTCATTGTTGATGTTTCTATCTCTCTCTCCCTCTCTTTTCCTTTCTGAAATCAATAAAAATATATTTAAAACAACCAGCTTCTCCTAAAATTTTACTTGACCATCAAGATTCCCTCTGCAAAGGCCAAGGGTTTGCAAATTCAGGGAAGGCCCTGGCTTGTCTCTGGGTTCTTTCTGTGAGATAACTGACGAGAAATCCTTGTTTACATGTTCTGTTGCACATAAAATTCTTTTGATCCTGTGGGTTATCCTGTCCTCTGCAGACCTAAGACGATACGAGCAGTATAGACTCATGAGCTTCAAAGAGAAAAACCAATCTCCTGGACCCAACCTCTTGGACGAGGAGGGGAAGAGACGAGGCAGTTTCCACATCAGAATCTCTTACAATCCCTCTTTCAGAGGTCCAGGCAGCCTACTGATGAACTGCTTATCTGGAAGCTCAAAGCACAATATTTCAGCTACACTTACAATAAACTCTCCCAGGGACTAGATCAACCTCCACTACACCCATGACAATGAATGCTCTCTCCTCACCTCCACAGTATTGAGATAACATCCAGCTGAACAGAATGAGGGTTCTGTCCTGTCAGTGTGACTTGTACAAGATGAATTCATACCCTCATTGCACCTGTGTAATTGTGCAACACCTCCTGCCACATGATTTGAAAATTCAGAAAAATGGGCAAGCTCTCCACTCCACTTTACACAAGAGAGCCTAGAGGGAAGCTTCGTGACGGGAACATAGCACAGAACAGGAGTTCAGGAAATCCAGCCGGTGCCGTGGCCAGGACACTATACCACTCTCGCCACCTGAGGGTTTATTCCTGGAGATGCCCTACAGAACCAATGGGTAGTGGAGACTCTGCTCCCTCCCCACTTAAGCCTTCTCAAAAGCGGTCAGCTGCCCGGGCTGCTGAAGCCAAGAGCTACAGACACACATTATGTGCGCTAGGGGCCTGGCTCTGCCATCTGGCCTGGTCCTGCAGAGCTCAGGCTGCAGAACTGGCTGGTGTCACTGACAGCTTTAAGCGTCTATTTATTTTGGTGTCAATTAGCAAAGAGTAAAAATCTCTGACTAAACCCACAAAGGGATGTTGTTTACAAAAAGAATAAACAAGGCAAAAACTGTTTTCAGTGCCTTCCTCTGTTTAAATTATGAATCCAGCCAAAAGCCCAAAATGAAAAGGGAGGAAAATATGGAAGAAAAATAATTTTTAGTAAAGTGATATGATTAAAGAAACAAAAACAAAGAGATTGCCAGACAGGAACAGCTTATGCTCAAAGGGATTCTTGAAATAACTTCAGAAATCAACCAACAAAATAAACCCCATAAGTCAATGGGTCATATTCCACTCAGCCTCACACTTATTTATTTCCTCGTTTCCAATTACTTGGGAAGCAAAATATGGAATTATTTATCTAAAATATCATCGATACTTATAGACTAAGGTCTCCAGACGCCCCTTGCCTTCTGAGAATGCCTCGTGACTCTAAAGGACACCTGGCTTTAGGAAAAACAAAAGACACATTGGAGCAAGCCACCCAGCGTCCCTGCTTCAGAACTGTGATGTGGTTTCAGTGAGTGGCCATCTTGCTTGTTACTATGGACCTAACGCATCCTTCTTCCTCCTGCAAAGAGTCAGGAATGGAGACTAATGAGTGCCTTCCTCCGGAGGCGCCTATGGCCTCTGGACTACAGGGTCCTCTTCTCTCTCACTCCTTGGATGCCTTGGCCGGGTCCTATGAACACTCCCAATTAGTGACATGTAGCCTTCCCTGAGCACTCCACCCATTTCTTCCAGCTCTTTTCTCCTCTTTTCAGTCTTTTCTTCCCCATATTCATTGCCATGTATACATATACAAAGAATGCCACATGGCACTTCCTGGTGGTTCCTTTTCTAATCTTAGAGTCCAGGAGAGACCTGACCAGGGACAGGACTCCACAGAGAGGCAAGCATGTGGGAGGGTGACAATGGCAAGCAGGGCACTGAGAGCAGTGAGGAAAGCAGCAGGGGGATGAGGGCATCCTCGGGCAGAACTCCCGTTTCCTTGCCAAGCCACACAGTATGCAGAACCCAGTCCTACTTGCAGCCATGGGTCCCACCTGCTCACATTCTTAAAGCAGACTTGAAGCGAAAGTAAAAACAAAAACTACCCACAGTGCCCTGCACAGCCTCCTTCCTTATATTTTCTGTCCAAGGTTCTGCTTCAGGGGTGAGTGAAAGGCTGTGAAAGTGTCTTTTTTGTTTATGGATGTGATTAAGAGAAATGTGGCTTGGGTCCCTTAAGAATGAAACCTTGGAGTCATCTTTCATTGCTTCTATTCTCTGCCAAGGTTTATAGAGTTCTGGTGGAGTGGTCCCCTCAGTGCCCAAGGTAAGAACGTTCCCAGGTGAGGGCCAAAGTCACTTTACTTTTTTCCCAAAAGGAAGTGTTTCCACTAAGGCCTGCTACTTTTGTTACCCTTTAATCTTCATAATTTCTTAAAAAGGAAGCAAGGGCATTAGCAATGACTTGTCAACCCTAAGCAGTTAAGACAGGGAGCGCCTTTGGGGAATGCACAGGTGTTAAAGTACTGGCACATTCATTCATTTAGCTGCTCAGCACTGAGTGCTTCTCCAGGCCGGAGAGAAGGAAGGCAATCTAGTGGAGAAGTCCGACCTGAGAGCAAAACCACCACCATGCTTAAAAAGTGTACTAGTGCAGCAATATATTGAGTAGTTTGTATTGAATAAGGTCAATTTGTAAGAATATGGAAATTTAGTATTTTTGAGTCTTCGACTTGAACTACAAGCAGCTTACAAATTCTATTAGAAAAGCTGAAAGACTTTTGTTTGCTTATTTAACCACTTTTATAAACATCTTTATTACATGTGTTATTTTATTGAAATATATTTGACACATAATATTGTGTAAATTTAGGATGTACCACTTGTTAATCTGATAAATTTAAACACTGTGATCTGATTGCACTGCAGTGATAATTAACACCTCCATTGCATTACATAATGATCCTTTCCTTTTAGTGATTGTAATCATTAAGTTCTAGTCTCTGAGGAAGTTTGATGATTATAATACAACTAGAGGCCCAATGCATGAATTCGTGCACAGGTGGAGTCCTTGGGGTGGCCTGCAGAGATTGGGCTCCAGCTCGTGCCCCCAGCCTCGCAGCCCCAGCTTGAGCCCCCAGCCTCCCAGATCGGCCTTGGCCTGGCACCACCCCCTCACCTGCTCCACCATCCTGCCTGTGGGGCAATTGATCAGGGCTGGGCCCCCAGCCAGCTCGCTCAGTGCCTGGATGCCAGGTGATGGCCCCGCCCCCCACTGCTGCTGGTCACTGTCTGTGAGGCGATCAGGCCCCCGCCTCGCACCCGCCTTGACCTGGTGCCGCCCACTCACCTGCTCCACCATCCCATCGTCCTGCTCTTGTTGGGGCCCATCGGGGTCGGCAGCACCTCCACTGCCACCCACTGCCAGCGCCACGTCACCGATGCCCATATACGGTATGAACTTAGGAGTGTATATATCCTTTCTGATTGGTGTTTCTGATCTCTTAGGATATATTTCTGAAGTGGGATCACTGGGTCAAATGGGAGTTCCATTTTTAAAGGGAACCCTCATACACTGCTGGTGGGAATGCAGACTGGTGCAGCCTCTGTAGAAAACAGTATGGAGTTTCCTCAAAAAGTAAACCAATATTAATCCTGAGAATTTAAACAAGGGGAAAGTAAATATAAAATCTGTTTCATTATATGCATAACATGCCTTCACAGGACACCAAGAAACTAAGAATGGGCTACCTATGGGAAGATAGGAAGAAGGGCCAGGGGACAGGATGAAAAGATCTTTTTCTTTATA